GGGGGAGGGGCGTCATCCATAGCTCAGCATGTCACAGTATATTACGTCAAACATTATGTATATGATTTTGTCTGACTGTACAGACAGGAAGTTATAACAATAAGATAACTCTGGTTGAGACAAACACGCATGATGCAACACTTGTTTGTCGACTAGAGAACAAGGAACTTTGGGATCATCTGCTATGAGCATGAACTCAACGTGAAATCATACCATGTGACTGCCAGCCAGTGCCTATCCTAGCCTCTTTAAAAGACCATGTTTTGGGGCGCAGAGCGGACTTCATAGATTTCAGTTCATACACTGCACTGAGTCTCTGTGCTCTGTCATAGGGACTTCATAAACTTCTATTCAGGCAATATTCTTGATCTCTGTACAACATTTTGTATCAACATAATTTATATTAAATATATTCACTGTATTGTACTGCGAGTTCGGCTTGGATTTCAATCCTTAAGTGTCAAAAGTACAATGAGGAACAGTCTCCCGCTCGGCTAACCTCTCGTATGCCATCACCATCATTGGGATACAACATAGTGTTATTGTTATTTTGTGTCTTTATTTAGTCTGATTTGTATTCATGTAAGTGTGCTGGTAGGCCTAACCAAAAAAGTGGCGTTTGAAAATATAATTAATAGTATAGTCAAGTGCATCACATTTTATTGCTTTTGTTAAGATAGAATAATACTAGGTTCAGCGAAGTGTATTGTAATTTTATAACTTAAAGTGATTGATTTTGTATTTTCTTTAAGTGCCTGTAGGCCTAACCTAAAGAAAAGAGTGTGAACGAGTTTAATCGTAATATAGTGAAGTTTAGAGTGGGCTGTAAGCTATTTGTACCAGCACTTAAATATCTTGTAGGTCTTAGATACATAAAAATATTTGTCAGTTGCCCCTAAATTTTCAGTTAGTACCAGGCTATAGACTAACTGTGAGTGAAAATGGACACAAAATGTAGTGACTTATCAGGTAAATGTGGGGCCTGCAGGAGGAAGGTTAGCCAGGGGATAGGGTGCGAGGATTGTGGCCAGTGGTTTCATTGGGACTGTGCTGGTACAAACAGTGAATTGGCCTTATTGCCTTGGTACTGCAACTCGTGTGCAAGCCGTGGTAATAAAGAAGCAAGAGGAGACAATCTTGAGTTTGAGTAGGGAGCTTGAATTTGCAAAAACTGAGATTAGCCTCTTAAAAGAGGAATTAAATTTAGTAGATAATTGTCCTGAAGAATTTAGGACTGTATCGAACTCCCGAAGGAAACATAAGATTGTTTCCTCCTTATTAGATACTAAGTTTACTTAAACCAATCGATTTGAACCTTTAGCTATGCTAGAGCCTCAGACTGATGGTAACTCTGTAGACCAGCCAGCCAGTGCTGAATCTAGTTATAAGCCTATATTTAAGGTAAAGCCTAAACATCAGATTCTTTTACTTGGCAACAGTCATGGTAGGGGTATCGGACAGAGGCTTCAAAATGCTATGGGAGATGGATATGCTGTGACCAGCATATTCAAGCCCAATGCTGACCTGAGGAGTGTTACTGGGAACATAGAAAATTTGTGTAAGGATCTTAATAAAGAAGATCAAGTAGTTATAGTTGGGGGGCCAAGAAACAGTTTATATAGGAACCTCAATTACCAAATTGAGAATGACATAAGTGACATTGCTCAAAAAACCAGTCACACCAATGTGAAGTTCGTTGGCCTTCCCTGGCGACATGACAAGCCATGGATTAACAGGTGGTTAAGGAATGTTAATCTTTGACTTGAGCGTTCACTTATGGGGATTGGCAGGACTTGCATTGATGGGATTGATGTCTCTTCAGTAATGAGGAATGAGCATACTCGAATACATGTAGACAGTACACTGTCTTGGAAAATACATATAGAACAAACTATAACTAAATTAAGTGCAGCTTGCTATGCAATGAGATTGATTAAGCCCTTTATGCCACAAGAAACACTGAAGATGGTTTACCATGCCTACTTTCATTCTATTATGAACTATGGATTAATATTCTGGGGGAACTCTTCACATAGTGTAAAAATTTTTAAGATACAAAAGAATATACTAGGTGGTTCAAATATGACTGGGACTGATTTTTTTGTAAACAAGCTGCACTGTGCAGCAGCTGTGCGACCTTGAGAGAGTGAAGCCACAACCTCCACCCTCCCTCCTGTTAGGGTTAGAACCTGTTCAGTCCTGTCTGGAAGTTGCTAGAGTGATGAGAGAACAGAAGGTACCGCAGAGTGTGGAACAACGCATTGTGATCAAATTCCTCGGAGAAAATGTCCCGTCCGCTGAAATTCACCACAGACTCCAACAACAGTATGGGGAAGAGTGTCTCTCACGGACCCGTGTGTTTGAGTGGTGTAAGTGCTTCAGAGAGGGCAGAGAGCGCGTGGAGAATGAACTGCATGATTGTCGGCCGCGAACATCCGTCACCAAGCCAAACATTGATCGTGCAGACACACTTATTCGTGAGAATAGGCACATCACTATCAAGGAACTTGGAGCAATGCTGTCCATCANGAGACACATCCGCCATACAGTCCCAATTTGGCACCAAGTTATTTCTACCTGTTCAGAAGGCTCAAATCAGACTTGCAAGGCATGCAGTTTGTGGATGACGCCGTCATCCAGAATGTTCGGGAGTGGATACGCCGCCAATCACAAGACTTTTTTGAAAAGGGAATCAGGATGCTTTCACAACGTTGGAAAAAATGTGTTGACTCCGGAGGGGAGTACGTTGAAGACTGACATGTGCAAGTAAGTGTTTGGCAATTTTGGTTTAAAAAAAAATCAGTCCCGGTCATATTTGAACCACCTAGTAATTAGAATCATTGCAGGACGTAGAAGTAGAGATTCATGTAGAGATTTATTTAAGAAATTAAAAATTCTGCCTCTTCAAGCACAATATATACTATCACTTCTCTTATTTGTTGTGTACAACAAAAATAAATTTGAATTAAATTCCAGTATCCATAACATGAATACTAGACAAAAATATAACTTCCATCTACCTTCATCAAACTTATCACTATATCAAAAAGGAGTCCACTTTTCTGGCATAAAAGTGTACAGTAGTCTCCCACAAAGTATCAAAAACTTGAGTAATGATACTAAACATTTTAAATCAGAGCTAAAGAAATATCTGCATGCTCATTCCTTCTACTCTGTAGACGAATACCTCAGTGTAAATAGAGAATAATGTAGAATTAAGCTATATTAGTTTAAGATAAAATTACTTGTACCAGTAGGTATTATTTTGACTTGTTCTATATCCAGAGATATTAACCTACTTAGGATCTATGGAATGCAAATAAATTCAATTCAATTCAAAACCTGCCCCATTGCCAACTTGTCCTGGGCTTGAACCCGGGCCACTGCAGTGGGAAGCCAGCGACTAACCACCTGAGCTATGGCACGGCCCTTCCAATTGTGTTAACAACAGTGTCAAAAAATATACTCCAGAAAATCAAACAGAATCCATTTTTGAACGTGTTACAGATGTGGACATACATATTTTGTGCTTAGTAAATAAACCAGGTTATTGTATTTTGAAACATATTGACTTCAAACATTACTTCCTTATCAAAAATGAGCAAGTTCTCGACAATTTGCACATTTTCAAATATGAGATTGAAAATTTCGAGAAATAATACAAACATTACAAAAAGATTAATTTTTTCTGGGATACATCATTAATTTTTTCTGGGATACATCATGAAGTCCATTGAAAATCAACCAACATTTTGGAAGAACACATCTCAATTTTCAGGACTGAACAGTAAACTAAGCAAGAAATCAGTATGAAGCAAGCTGCCTAATTCATGCTG